ACACATATATTTACACTATAACAATGCAGTCTACACATATATTTACACTATAGCATGTGGTCCACACAGATATTTACACTATAACAATGCAGTCTACACAGATATTTACACTATAACAATGCAGTCTACACATATATTTACACTATAACAATGCAGTCTACACATATATTTACACTATAGCATGTGGTCCACACAGATATTTACACTATAACAATGCAGTCTACACAGATATTTACACTATAACAATGCAGTCTACACAGATATTTACACTATATCTGTGTAGACCGCATTGTTATAGTGTAAATATCTGTGTAGACCGCATTGTTATAGTGTTATAGTGTAAATATCTGTGTAGACCGCATTGTTATAGTGTTAAGTCTACAAAGATATTTACACTATAACGTGTAGTCTACAAAGATATTTACACTATAGTGTGAGGTCTACAAAGATATTTACACTATAATGTGTAGTCTACACAGATATTTACACTATAACGTGTAGTCTACAAAGATATTTACACTATAGGGTGAGGTCTACAAAGATATTTACACTATAACGTGTGGTCTACACAGATATTTACACTACAACAATGCACACACTATAGTGTAAATATCTGTGTAGACCCACACTATAGTGTAAATATCTGTGTAGAACGCACACTGTAGTGTAAATATCTGTGTAGACCGCACACTATAGTGTAAATATCTTTGTAGACTGTACACTATGATGTTAATATCCTTGTAGACCGCACACTATACTGTAAATATCTGTGTAGACCACACACTATAATGTAAATATCTGTGTAGACCTGGTCTACAATGATATTTACACTATAGTGTATGGTCTACACAGATACTTACACTATAGTGTATGGTCTACACAGATACCATCATCATCACCTTCTTAACTTTAGTTTATTTGAAATTGGCACCATATATTATAAATAACACTTTTAAAACTAATAAAGTACAAAATACCATTATTTAATGTTTTGGGGCAAATGTAATCAGAATGAAATAAATTCCAACAATCAAAATTAGCACAATTATAACCTAAATTTAAGGTACTCTTTTGGAACACACAACTTATTAAATTATTATTATTATTTGCTGAACAAAAATGTGGATAGATATAAATTATTTAGCAAGAATTATGTTTTAGTGAATCATTAAACTGGTGATGATGATAGTGTCTGTGTAAATACCTTTGTAGACCACACGCTATAGTAGCACCATTTATTTTTACTGTGCAATAAAACACAGAATACCAATTTAGTCTTTTTCTTGAAGCTAGATCAGAAGGATCCAAGGTGGGATAACTTGACTTATAATAATGGTTTTTGTACCTTAAAGCCACAATTATAATCATCACAAAAGTGTTATCAGAGACTAAGGTTTATCAGCTTTTGGGTACAGTACTAAGTACTAATGGTTTCCAGTTGTTCTTTTTCAGTTTCTTATACACGATAAGGATTTCATTATGATGTATTTGTAGTGATACTTTCCAAGAAAAATGGGCCATGATAAATATTGGATTTTATGCAAAAATCATACCCAGCGAGTCTAACGTTATACACACTTCTTGGCAATACCCGGTTATCTGGGTTCCATTTAATAATGTTATAAAATTACCAATAACACGAGCGCACACATACTAACAAGCTATTCATGAATGCCTTCTTCAGATAATCACCGATAACACGACTTCAATCAAACACATATTAATAAGGCATTCAGACACGTACTTATTCATTTTGCTGCTATGGGTTTGATACAATTGATTGAGCACATCACCATGAATGAAAGTGCTTAGGATTTCCTGAAACAACATCATATCTTATGCAACAATGCTCCAACATAACCTCGATGCTTGAGTTCATGTGGTGCCAAAAAGATGCACGAGACATTTGATACACTACTAGAACACATATCACAATCGTATCTTGTACCACATCAATAATGATTACTATTGATAACAAATATTTTCAAGATGGAGGTTAGTTATCTGTTATCTACCATCTAAGAACGAGAAAAAGCAGTTTTTAAATGTGTACTCTAACAATAAGGTCGAGACCCTAGATAAATTTAGGGACCTGGATAACCAGGGATTGCACACTTCTTTACTTTCGATCAAAAGTTCTTATTAAAAATTTACAATGGGTATATATATTAGGATACAGATCCCATTAAACATAAATGACATTAGGTACAATATCTGCATTAGAAATAGCACAGGGTCCCAAATTTTCCTTCTAGAATATTGACTCACACTCAGTATATAAAAGAAAAAGAAAAAAACTTAGCTGTTGAGTACAGAATATGTCTAACACTTTTTCTGTAATATGAAAATGTATTTTAAAGAATGCACTATGATAACCCTTCTTGTACAGTATTTTTCTAATAGTGTAGCTTTAATACAACATTTGGTTTAGAAGTAACTAGTACGTGCTGACACCAAATACTTGAGATTCGCCGGAAAAAAAAATGGAACTTTGGACACTAATATTGATAATAATTCTAATAACTAAATAAGAGTAGTATGGTACTAGTAGTAATAGTATTAGAATACAACTTACAAGTTAATATAACTCTAGATAACAAACTTAAGCACACTAAATCAGGATTATCATTAAGATTTAATACCAGTAACAATTAAACTCTACGTTCACTAACTGTCGAAATAATAAAACTAAAACTACAGAGTTTAACTCTTATTCTCAGAATAATACTAACACTAACAGTGGATTTAAACAAAATTGTACTATATGTAGTTAGGCTTACCGTTGGGACCGTGACCCAACCCACTGATTGCGACAGTCAGTCTATCGTCGTACCGGCAAATACAGGATACGAATAGTGTTACCGTACTTTCTATTTTGTTTTCGCAAATTTTAGGACTAAAGGCACTAAAATTTTAGCATTAATCTAATAATTTTCTAATACCTAATCCTATCATCTATGTCAACAGCTATACAACATCTTCAAATACTGATACCAACACCACCTCCTTTCAAATTTTTTAATAGGCGTTCCTTGGTCCCCCTTTCCTTTTTTTTTTAAACGACAAATTTATCATTTGTAAAAGCGCTCCCTCGTTTACAATATTGTAAATTGAGTTAGAGTCATTAATTATATCAGGTAAGATTTGGAAATTATTTTGTTAATATGATTTTTTTATTATTTAATTCTAAAAAACTTCAATGTTTTAATGGACGTTCTTATAGAATTTTGATTCTGCAAACACATAGCTGTCCGAGTCTAACTGCTTCCCACTAAAATTAAATCATACAATTCCTATTACATGCGACATTATCTACTTTAAAAGATAAAAATGTATATTAACCATCAATGTATGAAATATAGAACTGGTTTACTAATAATACAAAGCTTTTAACCTGCATGATCTTTATCTCTACCATTATTTGGTCAAGAGTAAAGTTAAAGCAAATATTTTGTTTTTTAAATCGATTTATTTTTCACAATTTCGGGCGAATTTTAGCAATATTTGATTTACCGAAGAAGCCTGAATATTCAGATAATGTTTTAGTCAAGTTCAAATGCTACTATTATGTTACAACAATAAAAAAATCAGTAATTGATATTTTATTCGTATCATCAACACAGATTGTAATCAAAACCTTCTACCGAAAAAAAATAAATAAACAGGGTTGTTTGATTTTTTTCGCATGTATTTACTGTGGAAACATTACAATATATCAACCAATTTTATATTGGCCACTGTTTGGAACTCGTGACGCAAGTGCGGCAGTAAGCTTACCGATCTTTATGCGTCAACCAATAATGGCTTATTGGAGGATGGGGAAGACACCGATAAACCTCTAGTTTGTTGCGTATTTCCATCTAATGTTCATGAAATTCTGCAAATGTGGTATTAGAAAACAAAATTCAATCTTTTGTTTTAAACACATTTCAACTTTTATAGTATGAAAGAATGATTTTTTAAAAACTGGTATGACGTTTCGATCATTCTCAAGTATGTCAGTTTTTAAAATAAAAAAAGTTTTACTACTTAAATCAACAGTCTGATAATGTATTTAAATTAGACTCGATAGCAGTTACTATGCATATCAATTGGTGTGAGTTATTAGATTATTTATTTGTAACTGGAGATGGTGAAAATAAGTGAATGGATAGATGCAAAAAGTTTGTATAAGATTAAAAATGCCTGGAGAAACATCGATCAAAAACATAAGAGTTGTGTCTGAGTATTTGTTAATTGTAGGATTGTCTTTTTCATATATAACAAATGTCATTCAATACAGTGGCATAATTTACTACGAATATTTAATATAATATTTTTGCGATTATCGAAATAACACAAATAACTTCAGAAAACTTTAAGAATAATGTCATATTAACTAGTTGCCTCATTAACCCTAAAACTGGTCTTGTTTTTGTGCCATTAATACTCTATAGAATCTACCTGTTACATCATAATTTTAATGATTTTGCCTTTTATAACACTCAAGTTATAATATCATGAATTTCAAGACGTGTCCACCAAAGTGGTATGGGGGATAGACCCTCTGTGGAGAGCCATGCCCTTATCTAAGACAGTTTTTTTTTTAAGATTTTAAAAATCTCTACATTGTTACTTCCACTGAAATGAAAGTGTTGATTTTTTTTCTAACCCCCTATTTAATACAAATGAAGCCCAGCAATAACTAGTGGGTTTGTAATGTTGATTGTATTTTTGTTTAAATGTTTTGTAGCTGGTTTTGATAAGTACTTGCAAGTAACAAAGTAATGAAGAATATATAATGTCAATCACACCATACCTGCTAAAATTAAGAACCATGTAACTAATAAACTTTTGGACCCAGAAGTAGTTCGGTACATTAATAAATGTTAAAAAACCCTATGATGATTATATCTGTAATCCTACGATCAAATCCTTTGTACATCTTATAACTGTTATTTCAGCTCTCCTCCCCCACATATAGGTAGTAAAATCATTATTTAATGTTTTATTTCTTTTAAGATTTTAGCGGCAAGAACTTTCCAATTCACCATACTTTCCTCAAAAAGGTGAATAGCAATAGCTTTTCTTCTGGTGTGATTTATTACCAAAATATTTTATATAAATAGAATTAATATTAAATATATAAATATTTAGTGTTTCATAAACTAATGCACACTGCAACTGACAGGGCCAATACTTTGCCAAAATATTATTTAACATCTATTACACATAACTGTAAAATGGAAAAAAATAAATAAAAAAAACGTAGTTTTGATTCAAGAAATGTGATGAAATTTTGGGTATCTGTAAATAAAATTTATATTCTAACCGCGTATTAGAAAGATTTCAACACTATAATCTTGTCCGTGAATGTGAATGCTAGAAAACCTCCAATGTTCATTTTTGAAGACAAGAAAAAAAAAAAGGAAAAATTTTCATAGTTTTGAAATAGCTATTTATTATTTTATTTTCTTGCAAAGACAGAAATCAAAGATAGAGATAATAAAACACAATTCATATAGGCACTCGGATGATTCCTGGTTTCAACTCCCACATTTCCTCGTTTTTCTATAAAACTAAACATGTATAGTGACTTTTCTTACTAGTGATTAGTATGAAAATACTGCAGTATCAACTACTAGTTTTCAATGATATTCAAAAAGATTCAGGAATGTTGTAGTGACAAAAGTACAAAGAACGACAAGGAAAGTTAGCAGGCTAAAGATGCCGTTTTACAGAAACACTGAAGTGTTTGGTTTTTTCTAATAAAGATGTATATCCAAAGCATTAAAAGTTAAACCTGGAATCTATAATATGCCACAACTATGATCTTGCTTAATAAATTAATCTATTTATAAAAAAATACTAGTCAAGCCCATATCTTCTACAAACTAAAGCTAACTATCATTTGCAACTGGGCACAAAAACCTACTTGATTTTTGTACACAAGTCTATGCAGAATGTGCCCCCCCCTTTTTTTTTGGTCAGACACAGCAAATATGCAATGAGAAATTTCAACATCATTGTTTTTTGTGCATATTTGGGTAATTAAACAACACAATGTTCCAATTCTAAAAGACAATACTTGAAGTCCTATTCCATTTCTTACAGGTAGCTTAAGAATCATGCTTGTTTTTTTTAAAGACAATATTAAAAAATTTTTAAATACTAAAAGATTGAAACACTAGAAAATCATCACAATCATACAGTTCAACTAATAACAAATACATCTATGAAACTGAATCAACTGTCCCTCGAGTTTTTTATTTTTTATTATTAGCTCTAAATCGACCAATCAATTCTTGGGGTTCATTCAGATTTGTAAATGAAATTACCAATTAATTCACTAGTTAGACACAAGGTCAATGAGATCATCTGGTGTTTACACGAAGTATTTGTAAATTAATACTCTTTCTTAGCTTTGAAGTCCTCAACAGTACAACTGGAAGTCAAAGTTACAAGGCAGTAACACATCCATTCTCGTGGAATGTTATACTACACTTACTCTTTTCCAACAAGGCCATACAATCTTTACTAACTGCCCTTCATAGTTTAGATGAGTCATCTACACAACTCACCGAGTCTTTTGTACGCATTAGCTGGTGTAACTTTCAACCGATTCTGAAGTTTCATCAAAATAATTTTATCTTGAATTAATTTATTTAAAATTGCACTTAAGAACTGTAAACAGTCCTACTCAATTATTTAACTGCAAGAGAAGCCTTTGGTCAATCACCAGATCATCTGGTCAACCACATTAGAACACAGAAGATTTATCAAAGATATCAGAATATTTTTATCACAGAATACAATCCAGGTTTCAAAGGTTTAGTTAACATAGTCATCACTAGATTTTAGTTATCAGGTGGAGCCTTTGAAAATTTTAGTGATAAATCATATTTGTGTTGGAAAGTCTCCAAACTAAAACTTTATAACACTGAGCGTATTATGTATGACGAAATGGAGCAACTGATATTTTTCAGATTTTGGGTCCAGTTTTAATAGATCTATATTTGTTTTATTGAAACAGCTTTATTTGCACATGGAAAAATAAAATATTATTTTGAAATCTATAAATTCCACATTAGATAATTAATAACAATAGTTGTTAAACCAGTGCTTCAATTGTATGAATTAACACAAAAAACATTAATTTTCCTCATCATCTTCAGTTCAGCAAAAAGAAAGAAAGAGAGAGAGAGAGAGAAAACAGAAACTTCCAGAGTTCTGAAAGAATTAGCATCCAATACATTTATGTTATGTCATTCTAATTTCTTTAAGATAAAGTAATGCAAGAATTAAATAATAAACCATAATAAGGAATGTAACTGAATGGAAGTAAACGTAACTAATATAAAAACAACAGCTAACTAACCAAGTAATTGGCAGTGAATTTTCAGTCTTTTCTTACATAAGAAATTTTTCTTAAATCATTCAGGTATGGAAGAAATCAAAATGAAAAAAACCACTCACAAAAAAAGTCTTGGCTAATGTTTAAGCCTTCTTTACTTTGATAACGCTTGGAATGATGAACTGTAAATTTTAACAGAACTTTATATAGACTTTAAAGCAACAGTCTTGACATCACACACCCAAAGAAAAAGTGTCAGAGACCTTAAAACTGTCTCTATTCACTTATCACTGTATGTAAATGACAAAAGCACTCTTATATTAAACAATTAATACATATATACACATATTTTAAACATCTATAAGATTTTGTGGGCTGGACAAAAGTTACATCTAGCCTACAAGGAACAAAAAAAAAAAAAATTAACTAATTAAAGTACAGAAATAACATTAATAATGACCATAAACTTTAGTTCACTTCATTGTCTTGCATCACAATTTCTACCCAAACCATCACATAAACCCTGATGTAACCCAGCAAAGAGAGACCAAAGGATGGACTAATCAACAGTCATAAACCTTTTCTTGAGCCAAATAACCACTGTCTTCTGTAACCAGTGGTAGGTTGCTTGAGAACTTAATCTGGAACCCAGAGCCCTTTAACGAGTTTTCTACAGACTAGGAATGAAGATATTTGATATTATGTACAGTTTACTTGTGTTCTTTTCTGAAGAGGATGGTCATATACCCAGTGTTCTCCCACCTCATGGAAAAACTGCCAAAAAAAAAGGAAAAACATGGGTAAATTGAAAACAAAGAATAATGAAAATTAATTAATCTATAATACACAAAGATAAAATGACACACATGAACAGAATATTTTGCATCACTTCTTGTAAACATGCAAAAGTTTTGTTCATTTCACACCAAGTTGGGTTCGTAACTTACATTATTTTTATCCATGCTTTAAATCTAAAACGGAGGTCTCGAAAATCTTAGAAACGGCTCTTTATAATATCTTCCTTTCTTGGAAGGAAAAGTTCCAACTACTTTTATTTTTCTGTAAGTGTGCTAACCTTATTTTTTTTTTAATATTTCTCTTTCACCTAAACAATGATGATGATTTTGGATTATTATTTTTTTTCATATAATAGATTTCACAGAATTTCTTATAAAGATAATCTCACACACAATGAGCAGACCTCTACTTACTCTAGTTTCCCATTTGCTACCCGTCTCCTTTCTTGCCCTAGCCTCATCCCGTTGTTGCTGCTCCAAAGCAAACTTTGCTTCTGTTGCTGCATTAACATGATGAAACTTTAAACCTCGGGTGACATCAACCCACAACCTTTAAAGAAAAACGTTTAAAATATATTAAATAGAAATGTTAGCATAACCTTTTACACAGAGAAACCAACAGAAACTGTTAAACAGAAAACAAAGATGGACATCATTCAAACACTAATACATTAGTACTTACGACTTTGGTAATGTTCCCTTATATTTCATTGGGTGTTTGTTTTTTAGATTTAACCTTAATTGATAAGAAAACCTCAATACCTTCTTGATTCATGGGGTTCTTGTTCATCTATGTTCTTAACTCTCTTTCGTATGATGGGAACCTTTCTTGTATCAACAAATACTTCTGTTTCCTGAATGATTAGAAATGGTTACTCAGACATTAGTGTTCTTGGTAACACAAGTAAATAGCATTTGATAGAAACAACACAATTAAGAATAAGCTCCATCAACTTTAAACTTCAAGTTTGGTATCTTCTCTAAATATAAGGAAATCATCATTAGCAAGAAGAGATATCTACCTCTGTTGATATAATAAACAACATGAGTGATGACAGTCCATAAATCATTAAAATCACCTGCTTAATTATGAATCATGTTTGTTATTGACACTGTTGATATAATAAACAACATGAGTGATGACAGTCCATAAATCTTTAAAATCACCTGCTTAATTATGAATCATGTTTGTTATCGACACTGTTGATATAATAAACAACACGAGTGATGACAGTCCATAAATCTTTAAAATCACCTGCTTAATTATGAATCATGTTTGTTATCTACACTGACTGCATTTCTCTGTTTAAAGAATGATTCTTACTTGATCATTTCCAACGGGAACTCAAAAAACAACAACAACTTTGTTTTCTGGATATAAAAAATACACAAGAGTTGGGTATAGCAGATTTATCCTATATCTCTAAGTAGCATAGAATGAGAATAAATCCCAGCTTACTCCACTAGCCCATTTTGCATGCATTATTCCATTCCACTCTCCTGCAACACTTATGAACGGTTTCCTGTCATTAGGTTGGAAGACTTCAGCTGTGATACGGTGTTTCTTTCCGCCGTAGAAAGGCTAAAGAGGAATTTTCAATTTTTTTTATCATATGTGACACCATAAATAGGATTCAAGCTACGATACAAGTCTGTCTTGAGAGTCCTAATTTATAAATTTGGATTAAACAAACGTAATTGGTTACAGTTAACGTTCTCTCTTTAGTCTTTACCGTTATGAATAACATCATCTTGTTACATAAAAAAAGGATAGAAAATTACAAAATTTATCTCAATATTCAGAGCACAAAACCAACACATTAAGAATATTAAGAGCCAGATAACAAAATACAGACCATAATATAGATAAATAGAGAATAAATGTGTAATAAGTCAATTACAATATATTTGTTAGATTTCAGTCTTGAGACCTATTAGTAGTACTAAAATTTTTTATAATGTTTCTTTGGAGCCTCGATTCAAGCTCAGCAGAAACATTATTATTATAATTACTATTTTTTTTTTACAATGTTTCTTGCATTGGGTTTCCACCTACTTAAAAAAAAATACAGTTTAATAAAACCATTTCTTTTTAAATGCAAACAAAAATAAGCATTAAACAAAGTACAAAAACTAATACAGATACCTTGGTCAAGAATTCTACCGTAGCGGAGTAACCAGTCTGGGCACACGTGATGCTAACGTGACTACCTAGTTCAATCCACGGTACAGTCAGTATCGACCTAGACCAAGTACCATCTATTATTACAGATATACTCTACTTACGAAGACAAGGTTTGAAACTTACTATAGGTCTATCACAATAAAATAATTTAATAATGTAGATAAAACCTGAACCTAGAAAATAAAGTTTTAAAATAATTCTTACAATACTAAAACAGTAAGAAATCAACACAACTTGTTATGAAGTGGTTCAGGCAAGCCAATTATGCATGATGTTATTTAAGATGTGTATAACGAAACAATTTTCCTGAAAAAGTTCAAGAACAGGCAGGTATTTGTGATGTTTATTATCAGTATAGTTTAAACAACACATAAATAACACAATAGTACTATGAACTCCTGTGTTTAGATACAGAGTAAACATTGAGATGATACTCTCACATTCAATCAAGGTTGAACACGAGCAAATCTTACAATAACTAGCATTTGATCAGTATTTTATTACACTCTAGAAAATACTTTAACCACTGGAAACAGTACAGTACAACAAGAAGTATAAAAACAAGAACACAACGTAATGTACGTATAACAGCTATTATAAACAGTACAACAAGAAGTATAAAAACAAGAACACAACGTAATGCACGTATAACAGCTATCATAAACAGTTCAACAAGAAGTATAAAAACAAGATCACAACATAATGTACGTATAACAGCTATTATAAACAGTACAACAAGAAGTATAAACAACAAGAACAAAACGTAATGTATGTATAATAGCTATCATAAACAGTACAACAAGAAGTATAAAAACAATATCACAATGTACTGTACGTATAACAGCTATCATAAACAGTACAACAAGAAGTATAACAACAAGATCACAATGTACTGTACGTATAACAGCTATTATAAACAGTACAACAAGAAGTATAAAAACAAGATCACAACGTAATGTACGTATAACAGCTATTATAGACAGTACAACAAGAAGTATAAAAACAAGATCACAATGTACTGTACGTATAACAGCTATTATAAACAGTACAACAAGAAGTTTAAAAACAAGATCACAATGTACTGTACGTATAACAGCTATCATAAACAGTACAACAAGAAGTATAAAAACAATATCACAATGTAATGTACGTATAACAGCTTTATAAACAGTACAACAGGAAGTATAAAAACAAGAACACAACGTAATGTACGTATAACAGCTATCATAAACAGTACAACAAGAAGTATAAAAACAAGATCACAACATACTGTACGTATAACAACTATTATAAACAGTACAACAAGAAGTATAAAAACAAGATCACAACGTAATGTACGTATAACAGCTATTATAAACAGTACAACAAGAAGTATAAAAACAAGAACACAACGTACTGTACACATAACAGCTATTATAAACAGTACAACAAGAAGTATGAAAACAAGATCGCAATGTACTGTACGTATAACAGCTATCATAAACAGTACAACAAGAAGTATAAAAACAAGAACACAACATACTGTACATATAACAGCTATTATAAACAGTACAACAAGAAGTATAAAAACAAGATCACAACATACTGTACATATAACAGGTATCATAAACAGTACAACAAGAAGTATAAAAACAAGAACACAACGTAATGTACGTATAATAGCTATCATAAACAGTACAACAAGAAGTATAAAAACAAGATCACAATGTAATGTACATATAACAGCTATCATAAACAGTACAACATACTGTACCTGCCGTAGCCATTAGGAAATGTAACAATATATTCCTCGTTATACTTTAGTAAGGAGATACAACCCTGACCAATATTATGTACACCTATCGAGAGCCCCAGAAATTTTGATTTTGTCCAGATGTGAGCACAACAGGAAATCCCTTTCTCATAGTGTTCTGCATAAAAAGCTGATACTGTGGACACAGAAACAAACAGTTGGCGAGTGAATAACAAAAGGAAAGATATACAACATTACAAAAATAAATGTATTTTGAGTCTTTATAAAAAATTTAAGAAAATTAATATAATGTCAGAACTCTTAAGTGCAAAATTACATATTTCTGCACTGCTTCCAAATCATGAAGTCTTTTAAGAGCATCTTTAAGTTTTTATTTTACATGTTTCTGCTAAGAATGACAAAACAAAGATTCTAGCAAATCTCTATAAAAAAAAAAAGTTTGTAAGCAGTTTTTCTTTTAAGAATAATGTCACTGTACAGAGGAATGAACAAACTCACCTCCGGAGGATAAAACTAGTACAGCTAATCAACTTCAATATAAACACTAGAATGGTCTTCAGAGACTTGTTTCTTCGTTTTTAACTTTTGCACAAAGCTAATAAAGGGCTATCTACCCTAGCCATCCCTAATTTTGAGGTGATAGATTAGAGTGAAGGTGGTTAGTCAACACCACCCATCTTCAATTCTTAGGCTTATCTTTGCAAACATATAGTGGGATTGACCAACACATTATAATGCTCCCACAAGTTGAAAGGATGAGCACATTTGGGAGTAGATTTCGAACCCACAATTCCTTTTTATAAATCATTAACATGATGACCTTCTACTTAATGGTTATTTTACTTAATAATTAACTTATCTCAATAGGCACGAGCTGTCTCATTTTGATGGTCCATTGAATAAATTTTGAAGGTAATTCAACTTTTTTCAAATCATCATTTATGTTTAACTTTTTGGAGTTTATACTCGGAGCAAAGTTTGAAAAACTTTCAAATACACAAAAAGTGACCCAGCCTGTAAAAATATATTCTCATACTTTTTCTAACTAAGAAATTTAAGCAAAACATACCGAGATATAAAAAATAGCAACAACAACAACATTGAATAGAATTAAAAACAACAGCAATTATCTCATGCATTATCTACATTAGAACAGGGGGGGTCAGTAAAACCCACCAGCTTCAGACATTTCACCAAAGTCTTTAGAGTTAATGACCAAATTTAAACTTACTGGGCGGATGATGAGAGACTTGCTCGGCAATGAAGGTGAGGTTTTGCTTAGTTGCCCAGGGAATAGGACCATCAACTACATATTCCTACAAAAACACGATGAGCACATTACTTTCAAAACTAGTTCATCCTATGTGTCTGAACAATAACATTAAAAACTACATACTAAAAGATACGAAGAACACAATTTCATCAACATTACTTTCCTGTCAAAAGTTAATTCACACGTCTTGTTAAGAAATCGTCCATTTCTTCTTTCACAACACACACAGCAATGTGAAGCTGATCAAGATTTGCTACATGACAGTTTTTTAGCTATACATACTCAACATTTATCTTCTATTTATACAATTGCAGTCCAACACTGGTAGGAAACTGTTCAATATTTATATTTGGAGGTTGTCAAACAACAGTAAAACATTGTATAACATTTATACCTGATGCTGTAAGTTGTTTTCTAACACTACTAAAAAAATTGGTATTTTGTTTTGTCATATCTGTTATTGTTTTAATTGCAAAAAAAAGCCAGTTACTCAACAGAAAAATTTTCATACATACATACAGTAACACATAGCCAATAAAAAATAAATATCACAAGTCTCAGCCAATGAAAATGTCACACTATTACAAATGTATCACTGTTTTCAATCTGCCAAATTAACTAGAAACAGAACACTTTGTGCTACCGTACTGAACAGTAAGTAAAAGAAAAAAAAATATCACTTGGAGACCAACCTGCGAATTATGGAAACCTGGAACCTCCCAATAACACCGAAATATTTCCCCAAGGATAGGATTATATGGTTTCTTGGCAACAGCTGACTTTCTACCAGCATGAAACGCAGAGAGGTACCACCTGAGTACCTGAACCATTCGGTCCTTTGGATCTTCAAAGTCTGGAATGCTGTTACATAAAACTTCATATTAGGTTGTTCAACTTTATAAAGCTGACATTTATTCTTTAAAGCTCACTGACTTTCACACTTGTACAGAATATTTATATATCTTCAATGTCAAAATGATAAGTTACAGAAAATCCCATTTAAAAACAAGGAATGAAAGGCAAGTGAAAATATCCAACAGAAAACCACAATTAGAAATAAGGTATGGAAAGTAAGTGAAAAG